TAGCCATAAATCTTCGGCGGTATCGTTTCTTGGTATTGCCCATGTCCTAAATACCAAATAAATGTCATTACGTGCGCGCAACTTCCTACGGTCCTAATTCCGTTCTTACATTGACAGCAGTAGCCACGAATAGCTTCTGGACCTGCCTTGTCTAAATCTATAAGAATATGATTCCTCCTGCGGGAGTCGCTCTTCGCGCACGTTCTGTTTTTTCTTTCTATTTCTGAAACAACCCAATTTACAGCAAATGGAGGTCATATTTGTAATCAGTATACCAAAAATCGTAGGACAGTACACTTTTCTAAGAAGGACGTATTGGGATCAGAATTGGTACCCTTCTTTATGAACTCCCTCCAGTGAAATTAATAATAATTTATTTTGCAAATTACTGTCGTTACGGTACTGTTCGTACGATAGATAAACAAGTAACCTCTCAGGTTACACTTAAATTAATTATTGTTTTAGAATTTTGACAATTTTTTTTCGTGGGTCCAGTTTGTTACCAATAAGCAACGTAGGTATTAAATTTGAAAAAAAAATCACATAAGAAATTATGTAACTCCAATAATATTGACATTAGATAATAAATTATTGTATTAATTTACTAAAAATTAGCAGTACGTTGTTTTGTTATTGAATAACTCATTTTAAAGCAAAGTTCAAAGTATTGAGGATAGATGCCAATTCAGTGGGAATGTTATTCACACTGTCAGTGATGTGGAGATAGAGGTGATTGATATATCGACATATAATTTATTTTTTCCATTATTAGCTGAATAATTTACTGTTATTGTATCGCGTTTGTTGAGTAATACCACTAAAAATAAAAAAAAACACTTGGTAACAAAATAAAAATAAAATGTGTTAGATTATTAAAAAAAAGTCACCATATTACTGATTTGGGATATCCATAGTAATAACAGAAAATTTAAGTAATCAAATTGAAATTTTAGTTTTAATTTTTGTCCCATTAATTACATGTGTTTTATATAAGCTACAGACTTCATACGACCACCATTAAACTCCTTCTTAGCAGGGTTTTTTACGTGAATGTAATAAATCTTGCACTTATGTATTCCAGCAGTACTTGGAAAATCCTGGTTTCAATGTGGCTGACATCAGACCTTCTCGAAGGCTTTTATTTAAATACTGGGTGATTCACAACTTATTCAAAAAAATTTGGGAATATATGCGGCATGAGAAATAGAGTCAATATCGTAAAAACAATTTTTGTAAAATCCTTATAGTTTCCGAGACAAAAAAATATTGAAGTTGTAGTACTTTCAAGCATTACATCGCTGGACAACTGTATTCTCTAGTGTCCTTCGCAATACGCGTGGAGAACCACGTGGCCACAGCGACTCCGAATACTGAAATCCGATTTTACAATCGTCGTTGCAATAGTGTTTACCTGTTATCTGTGGTGTTCACAATAGTGTTTTAGTAGTTAGTGTCAAAAATGATTTGCGTGTATAGCAACTTAGAGTTGATGGATGTCGTTTTAATTTATGGTGAAGCAAGACAACGTTTGTATTATGGTGAAGCATTTGTGTTACGGTGAAGCAACACAACATTTGTGTTAGTTCGTAGAAACTGAGTAAGACGGGCCCAAAGTGTTTACACGTCTGTGGATAAAATTTTGAATAGTTGCTGTAACATCAGGTATGTCAAATTATTTTATTGATTAAAACCACAAATTAATTGAAATAATTAATATCAATAGCGGCAAAACAGTTGAATTTGTTCAATTTATTCCTTTTCTTGGGAAGTTTTTGTTCGTTTTTATCACGCATTGTGCGAGGTCAGGTTTTACAGTGGACCAGTTTCCAGTGCCGTGCAGAAGTGTATTTTTAAATAATTTTCGAACTGCCCTTTTTGATTTTTTCTTTACAAAATTGTATTTATAAAAGTCCCCTGTATATCAAAAATTTTTTTGGATAAGTTCTGAATCGCCCTGTATTTCCAGGAACAGGGATCAAGGTTAGAAAACAAATATCTAAGGAGAAGGCCAGTTGGTACTATTTTTGCCAAATTTTCATTTTTAGTTTTTAGTTAAAAAACCTGCAGATTTTATCAACAGGATCAAGGGAATCCAATTAAATGCAGATGATACCTATGAGTTATGCCAAATGAAAAAAACTTTGACTCATTAGAGGACGACCAATAAAGTGTGCACCAAATGGATCTTCTCCTAGAGGTCGATTTTATGAACAAAATAAAGCAGCAGTTATGAATTCATCTATATGGATGTCTTCGAGAAGGAAGCCCTGAAGTCAGTAAGTCTAAAGCCGAAGTCTGGTTCAGATATGCTGGCAAGGATTTTTGAATCACATTGAAAAAAAACTCACATTTGGATGTCAATTTCACAGTGAAGTTGAAAGAAAACGATATATTTTTGTTACTGGATGTTCTTGTCACGAAAAAACAGGATGGTACCCTAAGACATAATAGAAACCAATCTGCATAAATAGGTACCTAAACGTTGAGCTTTAGCAACATCTGGTTCAGAATCAAGGGATGATCTGAAGAAAAGAGCAGTAAGTCTAAATCAATGACGTGACTGCCAGTCCGAAAATTATTCAACTGTTGACAACTGTCACAGAAACCTACACATAAAGATATCCTAAAAGTTTGGCGTATCTCATTCACAGAAAAGTGCCAATTTAAGAAGCTTTGGAAGAACTTCATTGAAAGCTCATCGCTGAACACAAGGACGAAAGGAAAAAGTTTGCATCAAAAGAACGTTTTTCTCTTTTAGAGATCAATGAACAAACTGAAGGAACAAGTTTGGTTTGCCACTTATCCACAATCCTGATAAATATCTACATGCGAATGTTTTTCAGAAGAAATCTGTAACACTAAAGCCAAAGCGCGTATATAGAGTGTTAACGAACTTATGTCAAATATTTTTGCCACATGTCCGTTATGTCAAAATGAGGTAAATACACAGATTTGTGTTGAGTAAAATGTGATTTTAAAATCTGACTTACCTCAACATTGCAAGGTGCCACCTTTTGAGAAACGCTGATTTTTATAGATATTCGATGTACCCACCATTTGCTTGCACACAAGCTTCAGTGCGACGTATACAATTCGCTCACACGCGTTGCAACATTGCTACGTCCTCTCGAATCGTATTACAAGCTTCGGAAATACGATACGCAGTTGGTCGATGTCACGAACTTCCGTGGAATACACAACACTTTTCACATATGCCCACAAAAAGAAGTCTAAAGGTGTGAGGACCGGGGGAGTGGGTCATCTAACTAGGCTGCCGAGGCCTATCCAGCGATCGGGAAAAGTAATATTTAGAAAGTCGCGCACTCTCCGAAAAAAGTGAGCGGGGGCTCCGTCATGCAGCAACCACATATTTTGCCGGAACATTTAATGGCACGCCTTCCAATAACTCCGGCAAGCGATTTTGCAACAAATCTAGATATGAGGCACCGATTAGGCAATTCAAAAGGTCCTATTAAAGTGTCATTAACGATACTGGCACACATGTTCACTGAAAACTGTTGCTGTCGCACCGCGACGTATTTCGTGTGGATAGTCCAGTGGTGAGTGTTGTGTTGTGACGTTACGTACACCATTTCGACTTAAACATGCTTCATCTGTAACAAGTATTTTCACTGTAAATTGAGAATTTCTTGCATGTTCTTGAAACAACCATTTACAAAAACCTCGACGTTGTGGAAAATCCACAGGAGGAAGCGCTTGAACACGTTGAATATGAAATGGGTACAACTGAGATTCTCGTAATGTCCGCCATACAGATTCTTAGTGGTCGCCCTGGGTCATCGTCGTGGCCTCGAAGCGGTTGTACTTCATCGGTGTCGAAAACTCTGCAACAAATGTTCGCGGTGCGGGGGCACGTCGTTCAGGTTATCTTGCACGGTACACTTGACATGCTCTGTGGGCATTTTCGTTTGCTTCGCCATAAATTACGAGCACATCGTAATATTCGCTATTGCCAAATAAATGCGCCATTTTCAAAAGAAAACATGGAAATACGGCTATTAAATGTACTCTCGAAAAACAGCACAGCAATCACTACAACAATGTATTATAAACTGACTTTCGAATACAGTCCGGCTTCATAAGAAACCTATAAACTCGTAAAGAGTGTTACAGAATTTTTTGTAAGTACTCGTTGCGATAAAATACATTTATTTAAGCATTTCCAAAACAGTTTTAAACACATTTTTAATTAGCTTTTTTTTCTATGACTTTAAACTTCCGGTACAAGTTTGTGACATCAGTTAACTCAGTTTTATCTCCTTTTTCACCCATTTAAATTTTTGACATAAGTTCGTTAATACCTTTTGTAGACTATCATGGATATAACGACAACAAAAAAAAAAAAAGGTTTCTGACCAAATTTTAGTAAGAGAAAGATGATTTTGGCTAACGGTATTCAGAAAAAACTAAATCATTTCAACCTATACGAGGGTTTAAAACTGCAATAATCCTTCTTCCCATAATTGTGACTTACTACGCAGTTATTTTTCCTCCATAATAAATTTTTATTTGGTGTTGAAGAATACAGGTAAAAATTTCATAGATTAATTACAAGAAATTTCAAGCTGCAACGGATTGAGCAAAGTATTTGAAAAACCTTTAAATATGTTTACTTTTAAACTAGTTATTATAAGACATCCTGATTCACCTAGCGAGACCTTGAAAAAATGAAATAATCCTAAAAAATATTGGTCATACAGTTCGTACTGTTCTCACAGTGGATTGCCAAAACATTAACATCCTATTTCACGTGCTTCTGCATATACTTTTTCACTTCAAATCATAACTATTTCTTAACGGGTGGATTTGTAAACTGTTTTTAAATAGAAATTTATCACGGTAATATTAAAATAAACTAGATCCTCGATTTAAATCCTGTAATTATGCTGCCATTGATTTTACGCGGGTTACAATATATTATATTTTTGTAGTTGGTTAAAACATAACTTCTTAAAATAATCCCCACATCAATTTTTCTCTTCAGGGAAGAGAGTGGGGGCAATATATACCAGCACTTAGCGATAATTTTGCCAGTGTCTGAGTTAATTTTAACTGACATTCAAAAAAAAAATTCCAAAATGGTATGTTACAGTAAATTTACGTATAATGCACCTAGTGTTTTAAATTTATTATGAAGTGCTTGGGGTGGAATTATTGCAGTGACTTAAGTGATATCTAAAATGTTCTACTTAGTGCTTTTTCAGTTCTGTGTTGTTTTTAATATTGTATATTTGAGGACTACTAACAAAAATTTAAAAAATTTACACACATTTCAAAATTTAGTTTTTATTGTTTACAATAGTTGGTCTTGAAACTGTCGACAATCCCTATTAAAACTATCTTTACACAGGGTGTTACAATATTTCGAGTAAATTGAACTATCATAGACTCTCACAGCCAAAATAAGATGATTTAACTAAATATATATTCATTCAAAGAAGCTTCCTTTACATATTTAGGTGCTAAAGTTCGTCAAAGTCGGCACAATTTTTTTTTCAAATCCCGATTTCGACATGGTAACTAAAATATGGTCATATTTGCACGAAATCTTACAACCTCATTTCATCTTTTATGGCACAAGTGAAGACAGTTTTGTACTGCAATTTTTTTGTACTTTTAAAGGTTTTCACAAAATCAGTTATCTTATTACAGATGCATTTTCCATACAAATCTGATCTCATTGTCATAAAAAATTTGATTTATTCGATATTAAAAAGAAAATAATGCTTCGTGGAGATCAAAAACTTGTAATCTAATGTTGTTTAATGAAACTAATTAACACGTAGTTCAATCAGAAAAAAAAATTTACTCATTTTAGACATCTCAAATTTACAATGGGGCATCGAACTAAATGAATTCGATGAGAAACTACTGTTCATAATTTGTAGAATGGAAAATAAATTATACGATAACTTTTTAACTGACTGACGTTACTGAAAATGGTGCCCATTTCAAATCTCTTAAAGATTACTTATTACGAAAAGGCGTTCGTATTGACTAATAAAATAATTAATAGCAGTAAAAATTTGCAAGGGAGAGAAACGAAAACTTGAGAAAAACTCTACCTATGATAAAAGTAAGAAATAACGAAGGTCAATTGCTAATATAAAAATACTTCTTTAAGACTAACAATAAGAGGTTTTCCCATTTTTGTAAACGTAAATGTTTAGATTACTATGTCAAAAAATGACATCTAGGCAAAAACACTAGTATATAAGATGTCGTTTAAATCAGAGAAAACATTTTAGAGTTAAGGCTAGGGGAAGCAACTTTAGAGATAAATTTAGTCAAATGGTTTTAGTTTTACCTCAAAAATCTGTGACAGTTCCATGCACATGGAATATTGAGACCCCCTGTATATTATGAAATATCCAATATTTTATACAGGGTGTTTGCAAATAAGTGCGAAATATTTTAGGGGGTGGTTGCTGAAGTTATTTTGTGAAAAAAAGTTCATATAAACGTAGGTCGAAATATGTTTCGTTTCCGAGATACAGAGTGATTCAATTTTAATTTTTTATTTATTTTTATTAATTATTTCAAAAGGTTTTAAAGATATTGACTCGAAATTTGAAAAACGCTTAGGAGGGATAAATGTGCATTTTTTGGGATAATCCGAATATTTCTACTTGCATCAGCGGCGTTCGTGCGAGAAGCCACAACCTTTTTTAATACAAAAATGGTACGCCACTGACTTTTTCCCGTTTTGATATTATTTTAGAAATCCGCCATCAATTTGAATGAAATTGGTCTTTTAAATTTTTTTCGTAGGATGCACCGTTTTTGAGAACAAAAATTAAATATGTATCGCAAGTTGTGTATTTTTAATTTCTATTGATACATTATCTTGTAGGTTGCTGTCAATATTTTTAAATAAAATACAACCCTCAAATTTCGAGTCAATATCTTTAAAACTAAATAATTAATAAAAACAAATAAAAAATTAAAATTGGACACTGTATTTCGGAAATGAAACCTGTTTCGACCTACATTTATATGAACAATTTCACAAAATAACTTCGGCAACTACCCCTTAAAATATTTTGCAATTATTTACAAACATGTACGGCTGTCACGAAATTAATGCAACAAAATTTGGCAACCGGTTCTTAACACAAGTTTATGGGACCCGTATTTTTTATGTTTGCCAAGTGGCCCCCTTTTTCGGCGTTACAGACCCCTGAAATCGACCCCTAAAAATAGTCTTTTTTCTATATCTTAGAACCCTGTTGTACAAGAATTATTAAATTTGGTACATAGGGGTTTTCTGACGTGGAATCTGATAGTGCTTTTTGGTGGGGAACCCTTAAGACACTTTTTTGTGGGCCAAAAAAATTTGGTTGCATATTTGATTTTTTTAAAAATATTAGTCTGCTAGAAAACTTTTTGTCTCTTGATATTTTTCGTAAAACGCAACGTTTTAGAGAAAAATGGCAAAATGTGATCAAATGCATGTCGTGATTCGTATAAAATTCTTATTAAATTTAATTTTGAGAACCGAATTGTTAATAAAAACTTCACAAAAACAATTAGAAACTTTAATAAAACGGTTTTTATATTTATTTTTTAATTCACAATTATTTTCCATGTAAGGCAGATAAATTTCTAAGTTTAGGTCAAGGAGCAAGAAATGTGGTCCAATAATGCCATCTCCCCAACAGTTAATCGAGACATTTCCTTATACATACTATTAATAGGTAAAATAATAGGGGCAGATTTCAGGAAGCTGTAACTTCGAAAGAGGGGGCCACTTGGCAAAAATAAAAAATATAGTTCCCCTTTTGTCTTAAGAATCTGTTACCAAATTTTGTTGAATTAATTTCGGGACACTCGGTGAATTATTAACTTCAACTTTAATGTTATCTTAACGTTTCTAAACAATATCCCACATGTTTTTTTTATTTGACTTCCTGTGTCAAAAATACATGATCGATCTGAAAACAAGTGTTTACAATGTCGACAGTTTGCAATTTTTTCGGACATAATAGAAAATATACACATTACACTAAAGACACAATCTTTTCTTTGGATATATGTTTCTTATTATAGAGATAGGTCCCTGAAATTTTATAACATTGTAGTTCCAAAAAAAGCGTTATACCTAAAATAATAATAATACTTTAATAGCTAAAGACATATACGATATATAAATATATAGGGGATCAGTCTGACAACAGTGCAATTACCCCAGAAAGGTTATGCACCACGACGTCAAATTTGATATCACTTAGGCAAACTATATAAAAGTTACAGGGGTTTGCTATATATGAATATTTTTCTCGTAAATAGGATCAGGAAAAAAATTAAATATTATATTTTACTAAACATAGGACTTTGCCTAATAAATGGAAAGATAATATTGAACTTTATTGTCATTTTCAATTTAAAGGAAACAATTAATAATTAGTATATTTTGAATTAAATTGAACACAAAATTATATGTAACTAGAAAAAGATAATACTTCCTAGTATAGTCTTTCCGAAGTCAGTTGAACATGTATAAAAATACCGAGCAATCAAATTTAATGAGTGAGGTGTCCCTAAAAAAGTTTTCTGTTAAAGGTAAAAAATTATATAATTTGTATATAATGTGTAGAAAATTTCTATTATATGTTCATTTGACCAACAACATATTTTAATAATTTATGTCCTCAAACAATTTTATTATATATAGATGGTAAATTTCGTCTTGTTCCGTTTCAAAAGGTCTCCAAAATGCCATGTTGTAATAATTATTAGTAAACCATATATCCCTCTTATTTCTCCCTTTCGCAATTGTAATATGAATGATTAATAGAAGGTGCCTATATTCAATTAAAATTACTTAAATCACACCAAATTCCGCATTGCTGCACTGCACTGCCAGGTGACTTGTCGACAACTGAAATTTATGACGCAGTCGATCAGAGCAACAGTGGGTATTGCTGTTTGCCAGCACGCTCATTCTTCAGCTGGGCGTATACATTGCTACCACCTGTACGTTTAGTTCGACCAGACTTGTATATGGGTATGGCTAAATAAATATGGGAACAAGCTTTTCAAAAATTTTAATGCCGTGTTGCTGAGTCAACGACCGAACCTGGTACATACTGTCATCCTTTTGGTTCTTCAATAATTGATATCGGAAAGATATATAGAGAAAAATATTTTTCCTTTCGTGAATTTGCCTTATCTTTTTTGATTATTATTAAATAGAAAGTGAATCAAAACTTGTTTTACATAAGTTAAAGGTATTTAGGAATATCTTTATTTGTTTAGCCCCATACCTAGTCTTGAAAATTAATCAGCCAAAAATAATTATATTAATTTCAAACAGAACTTAACATTTTTGAGGACGATTTGTTTCTTTAAGAGCCCAAATGTTTTTTCTTAGAGTGATGATGAGCAGAAAATGGCGGTCATCCGCAAGGCCTTCCAGATGTTCGACACAACCAAATCTGGATTCATAGAAACAATCAAAATCGCAACCATCCTCAACACCATGGGTCAGTTGTTCGATGAAACCGAACTGAACAATCTCATCACACAAAATGATCCTGACAGGACGGGGCAGGTGGATTTCGATGCATTCTGTAGCATCGCTAACCACTTCTTAGAGGAAGATCTTGATGATGAATCCACACAACAGGAACTTAAAGAAGCATTCAGGTAAGTGGCATCTCTTTCTTAAATATACTAATCATGTTACCTAGCATCTATTTATTTAATTGACGGAATTATACAAACTTCTACCTTCTTTTAGATTGTATGACAGAGAAGGAAACGGTTACATCACAACTGGTACCTTAAAAGAGATATTGGCTGCCCTTGATGATAATCTTACAAGCAGGGACTTAGATGGAATCATAGCTGAAATCGATACTGATGGATCAGGCACTGTAGATTTTGATGGTATGAATACATATCTATTTTTTTTAATTATTAACTGAAGTTTATAACTCAAAGTTAAGATTCTCATTTTGAAATTTGAAGAAACAATGGAACTTAAAGAAACGTTTGAACAAATGGTGATAGTTGGGAATGGGCCAAAGATTGTTTGATTTCCTGACTAGGCCTAATTCTGTTACTGATATGATATGTCAAAACTTCTCAAAATAAATTTACAAAATTGAAAAAGCAGAATGAAATAAAACAGTTTGTTATTGTCATTAATCTTTGCATTATGAGTGAGAATGTTTGAATATCCCTTTTTGGCAGAGCACAAATTCGTATTTTACTTCTGAGTCATTCAATGAGTTAATTTTAAAATTTAACAAAATTAAACATTGTTTTTACTATTTTTGCTTTTGTAGAAAAAATAGGAAAAATTAGATTTAACATGTAATATATTGAAGAGATTCTGCGATCATCTGTAGATCTATTGAACACCTCCATCATCTTTTTCTAACTTTAGCTTCCTAATTAGCTAATAGTGGCTCCTTCACATAGCTTTCAACTTCTGATTTCTTTCTTTTGAACAGTAAAAATAAATGATCTATTGCTACGCCTCCAAACCAGCACAACACGGACAGTCTTGTAACAAGCCAATGTTACTCAGATGTTTCTTGAGTTACACTGTCCAGTTAACAGTTAAACTGTCATCTCTATTATGACTTTGGTTCAGTAGGTCCTTCATTGTCCTTTTAAGATTTTCTTGGCGTCTGGGGTTTCTTTCCACCATCTATTGAACGAGTGTCTTACTCACATAATTAGGGTTCAATTCTCTGTATAGCTTTAAATGAGCCTTCTTTGGTTAACCTATTAGTCTTCTCTTCTCCTTGATGACCGTCTCAGTCTGGTATCCAGGCTAGATATACATCGTCATGACCTCTTAACTGTACTAAAGCATCTCCATAGCTTCGTACCAGCTTGATCTTTTATGAGTTTAGCGCTGCCTAATGGAGTAACTAACATTGTCAGTTTTTGATTTTCTCTTCATAACTTTATTGCAATGATTGCAACGGCCATCAATTTTGCATGAAAGACGGTTCTTCGATAATTTCTTTTACTCTTACATATTCCAGCTCCTACTTCTGCGTCTGTCTTTGAACCGTCCGTATACCAGACTAGATGGCTTTAATGGGAGGCCTCTTCTTCCATACCCTTCTTCTATGTGACCTAATTCTTCTAATTTTTTTGAAATCTATATTTCAGTGCTAAATGGGAGGTTGGCATTTACTGAATCAGATGCACGTTCAGCACATCGTCAGCTTCTGTGCTGATATAATCACCTAATATTTACATTTATCTTCTTATATATAAAATTCTCGTGTCACAATGTTCGTTCCCGTACTCCTCCGAAACGGCTTGACCGATTCTCATGAAATTTTGTGAGCATATTGAGTAGGTCTGAGAATCGGCCAACATCTATTTTTCATACCCCTAAATGTTAAGGGTGGTCCACCCCAATTTTTTTTTTATTTTTTGGACAAAATTTTCTGTTTTTATTTTTTCATGATTCAGCATTGAAAAATACATACAGTTCTAAATTTTCACCCTTATACGATCAACCCCTGATTTTTAATCGCGATTTTTATATTATTTTGTTCCAACCAGAGTTCCACAAGATGGCAAAACAACGTTTGCCGGGTCAGCTAGTTAGTCTATATAATAAATATAGCAAGTAACATATACTCGTATTTGCTCATAAATCAAGTTGTACATGTTCGACCTCAATTAACGCAAACTTCAAACCTCACCTTGCTAGCCGGCAAACTAAAAATGGTAATGTTGTTTTATACCGAAAAAGTAACACTTATAACACTTCCCAAAGTGTGCTTATCTAAACACTTAAATTCGTTTTTCTTGGAAATAGAGCATTTTAGCTAAAGAAATAAAGAGTACCTTTTTTGTAGAGGAAGTGAAGGTCTATCATATGTTTGCCTCTGAATTTGAAAATTTCGACAAGCAAAAAAATTGAGGCAAATATTAGCCGACCCAATTAAGACGCTGCTGATGAACATTTTTGAAACATTTTATGATGATCTACTTCGACTTTTAATGAGCATTCATGGTGTCAAAATTCATAATTTTCCTTCAACCCATTTCAGAAGTATTTAAAAAAGTGAATTTTTTGAGGTCCCATTTAAGGGGGCGTAGCTCCCTTAGGAAGGATTTTTCGACCAATATTTATATGAAAAATATTCTTATTTTTGGCAATAGAATCTAGTGGTAAATTATTGGACACTAATTATGAGACATCCTCTATATGTATATGGTATAAGTAATCTCAACAAATATATTGTCTCATCATAAGAATATTTCTTAAGATCGCAAATTAAGTTTTATTTCAATTTTTAAAATATTATTTGTCTATGAAGGTTTAACAAGAAAATGAAAATTATTAAAATAAACTTATATTAATTTAATTCCTAAAAAATCATACGAATAAATATTTTTTTTTAATTATTCTAATCCAGGTTCGGACGTGATAATTATTTTTGTTACTAAATATATTTACTTCTACTATTAGCACTTTGTTAATATTTCTAAGATTCGAATGCGTAGAAGGAATTTAAGCCTTCCTTAAGTTATATCCATTTAGGTAGGTATCTCAAAAATAAATGAGTATATTTTTATCCGAGTTGCGTTGGCGATTTTTTTAAAATGTTTATTTTTACTTCGTCCTACTCTGCTAAAGTGGCGGTTAAAAATAAATTCTGAAGCCTTGGCACCTAAGGAAATAGTAGCTCATTTTTCAAAAGTATGCGAAGGTTAATAATTTTTCTAGCAACATGTGATACTTCTTTCTATTTTTAAAGTTCTAGAGCTATATATCAGACATATTTAGTCACTTTTAAGTGTCAGCAGCTCCACGGTTATTAGGGACACTTGATTTTTCTCTTCTTTATTGCAAAAAATACCTATAAATAAATAAAGACGAGAATATGACTAAGTAGAACATTTCATCACTTGAATTCTAATTTTGCATTTCGTATATTCCTTTGTTTACGCATATAGGCAATTTTTAATAAAATGCTACATTAAATTTTCCATTAACTTATTGGTTATAAGACAGAGCAGAAAATATTTTTCACTTCATTTGATGACAATTTTATAAATATGTTAATTTTTTTTCATTATTGCATTAAAAAAACTACCACGAGTTACTATGAACTGTTCAAAATATAAGCACAAAGATGACACTACAAAAATAATTCAGAGTAAAAAAGTGAACACTATTATTTCTTCCAAAAGTGGTTAAAAGCAACATTAACTACACTAGTGGAAAAAATTAAGGGAACAAAAAAAGTCAGAATTTTTTATTAACTGATTTTTGACAGGCTGTATCTCAGTGAAAAATGGTCATGTCGAGATAAAAAACCGTTTTGAAGATTCAAATCTCTAGTTTCAAAATCTTTTGATAAAACAAATTTTTGTTAAAACAATTAATTTATTGCGCAATCATAGGAAATAGCGGAAGAAAAATTTCCAAATTTTTTAATTTATTTTTAAGGGTTTACAGTCTCAGGATTTTTTTTTCATTTAAACTGATGCTTAGGTCAGTTAGTTTGATTATTCAGCTTTAGTTTGTTTTTTTTTTTTGGTCTTTGTACGTCAATTTTTTGTTATGATATCCGGCTTTGAATGAAAAGTATTCTTTCGTTTTTGATCAACAATATCTCAACAACTTTTGATCGCGTTTCAAAACTTGAGTAATAAAAATAATCAAAAGTTTTTGTAAACTTTAATTTTTTTGTTAGAAATTTAAGCGATATGTAAATTTGTGGGAAAAGTCGAGGAAAGTTCTTATTTTTCATTTTGATATTTAGGAAAATAAACGTGTTTTTTCCAGAACTTTGATGATTTGGAACAGTAAAACGGTTGGATGGATCAACTCGTCAATTTACAGGTTTGTTGTGGGTATACCGAGCTGTAAAAATTTCCCCCAATATTAGTCTTAATCAATATTTGTAAACTAGCAGTAGTTTTAAAAAAAAAGTAAAAAGTCATTTTTTGCACATATAGGGTTTGTTCAAGTTTTCAAAACCCCTTAGATTTACTGTGCAATAATTTATTGCTAAGATATCGATGAATAAGGACAAAAGTGTCATTTTTCATTCAACCGTCGATATCTCTGCAATCAATATCGTACGGAGATCTTTCAAAAAGTAAATTAAAATTGAATGAATAATCTCACTGACCTCTACATTGATTGAGTTTCGAAAAAAAATTTAAACAATTTTTTCTCGAGGTAAATAGGTATTTCTTTGACTGTTCAAAAAATTTATTTCTTAAAAAAATTTGTAGCTACTAGCTAGAGACTTAAAGCATCAAAATCTTGAAATATTTTTCTTTTATGAAATATTTTTCTTCCCTTAATTTTTTCCAGTAATATATATTACAATTATGAATTATTAAGATCATTGTGAAACGTCTTAGTTTCATTAAGTTTGATACTAAGTATAGGTATTTATAACTGTCTTGAATTTTTATGTGATTCGAATTTTCATATAGTCTAAATTAATGTGTAATATATTTAAAGGTTTGTAGGTTTTGTCATTGTATGTTATTACTTATCGTTTATTTAACTTTGTTGAATATTGTGTTTTCAAATTTTGTTATATATTCTGCTATGAGGAACTTACTGAAATAGTTTTATTTATTATTATTTATGATAGTAAAATTCTTTTGGGAACCGAACAGTAACATTCATTCAACACATACATCATACGTAGTTTTTTTTTATTGAAATGACTTTTAAAAATCTAGAGTTCGGGACTCGGTCGGATGATCATAGCCGTCGCGGCGGCCTTCCGCTACAGCGCCACATGAACCGATAATAACGGCAGTTATTGGCTTCGCGTATGCTTCGTGTATACGTGTTTTAATATTCTAGTAATATCGAACGCGCCAAGGGGTAAAAGACGACCTTTCACTGATAAAGTACACAAAAATATTTATTTTTATTTATACCTACCTGTTTATTTATTTGTTTACGACGAACACGCCTATGACTAGCCGACGAAAATCCCGAACTCTAAAGATAACTATTCCTTGACTGTTTATTTTAATCGCTTTCATCGCATCTTAGTTTTTACTTCAAAGAAGAATGAGACGTAACCAATACAACAGAACTACTCTAGTTGTTTCATAGTAGTACAAAGTACAATGTAACATTATGAATGTGTTTAGTTATAATTTAAAAAATTTCTAATTAACGAAAAAAGTCAATATTAACTAATTTAATTATTTTCTTTTTCCAGAATTCATGGAAATGATGACTGGTGATTAAGAAGATCGAAACAAGCAAATAACAATATATTCCAATTCCGTTAATTTAAAAGACAATAAATTTATTATTAATATCTACTTAGCGAAATTTTATTTAAATTCCTTTGGTATTTCTTATTTCCATTATTTCATAATTCGTAATAATAAATTTTTTTAAAGTTATTCCTAAAAATTAATTTCATAATACTTTTATTGATTGTTCACATGTATAAATCTTAATTTTTGCTATGTGTAATGTACAAATATAATATGGAAATATATTTACGAGTTTTTTTTTCATATTATAATTACTTGGCAAAACATAAGACAAAAATCATGGGGAGCAAGAATTTAATTAAAAGCAAAGTCGTATGTTATTTGAGAACGAAGCGCTGTGTCATTTTGGATTGCAGCCAAACAATTTCGAACGTTACGATGATAAATAGCTGGGTAATAAGTTGTAATCTGTCACACTGGTGTATGCAAATATTTTTCTTGTGTTATTTTTTGCATATTATTTATTACTAACGTTTTTTTACATAATTGCTGTTAATTATATTAGGATGTATTAACCATTACATGTTTTCACTGTAACAGAAGTATCAATTTATTTCAGTTATAACAATTCATTCCTGTATTTTATTTCGTTCCCACAGGATAATAATTACACACAATTATTATTGTAATTTGTTCGGAAATAATTACCGTAATTAGCAGGTACGTTTGATATTTTAATAATATTTAGTACCTACCTAATTAATATAAGCGAAAATATAAATGCAACAATAAACAATGCATCATTACTTTGAGGCTTATAATTTTTTCCTTAATTTGCCTAATTGGACTTTACAATAATTTCTCAAAAACAGATCAATTGCTTTTAAAGGTGATAAAGGATGGCCACGGAAAATGTGGCTGTAGTTCTTGTTTATTGAAATTTAAAATTTTAAGTAAGTAGGTACTAATTTGCTTTTTATAATCATTTTCATAGCCAGAATTTGACTGATTTATTTACTTATTATTACACTTTTGTACGTGTAAAAATCCAATCACAGAACAAGAGGATGAGAAGAAAAAAATATAGATTAGAGGAGAAATACCTTAAAAATAATGGAGTGGAATAATGGATTATCATGTCAGTAATGTAAATGAAATAGCGGACAGCAGTTGAAATACAATAATCTTACCTTAATAGAGTTGAAAATATCTAATCATTATCGAATTAAACTGCAACAGCTACTAATTTTCAAAATAGGTGAATATTTAAATATATTTGTAAAATAGTCAATTTAGTTATTGAAAATTTTGAATAAGAATAACAGACTGGTGCCTTCAATCAAGTTTTTTAAGCGAATGCATTTGATAGTTCAGATTGCGGCACCCCAATAGGTTGAATGACTTGAAAGACCCAGTTATTTAGAAATTTAACAAACTTTATTTTCAAAAGTATTCAGCTAAGTTAAAATAATACAGATACAACTATATTCAAATACTATTTTAATATTTTTTAAACAAATATATTACTTTTGTTAGTAATATTCCATGGCCAAGTCTGTCAAATATCTTTAAAAATGAATAAATAACGTCTGTGTCATTGTTTATTTATTTACTTATATATACAATGCCGATTATGAGGTCCGTTTCTCCAAAATTATAATACTAATAATATTAAGAAAAACAAATCAAAATATATTCTACAGGGTGGGCTACCTGTAACGCCTCGGTCGCTAGTGACCAAACGGCAAATGTTACAGAAACCTGTTTAGGTGGGTATGTGTAGGTTGATTATGGCTACATTTTAAAATAAATTATTTTGAGATATACAGGGTGTCCAGGAAAAGCGTACCATATCAAAGTTATGTTTTTTTAAATGGAACATACTGTATTTTACTGCATTTTTGAAAGTACCGTAAAAAAATAGGTGAACTTTTTTAAAGGTTCTGCATACCTACGACTTATAGTTTGTGAGATATTTCAATTTTAGTGAAAATGCAAGCATAGCGTAGAAATTTAATATTAGCAATAAAAAAATAATTTTAAGGAAGCAGCTTTGGAGGGTCTATTTTAAATGCTTGAAGTTATAAATTGNGGTCGTACGCAATGTTACGAATGATTTTCACGGTTTAAAAGTGGTCATCAGTCAATTGAAGATGATCCACGACCAGGAAGGCCTTCCACTTCAACTGATGACACCCACGTTCAAAAAGTCAAAGATCTGGTGCATATAAATCGCCGATTGAGCTGTCAGAGAAAGGGTTGAAGAGGTTAGCATCTTAATTAGGTCATGCCATGAAATTTTGACTTCGATTTCCGAAATTAAAATTAGTGCTGAAAGGTCGCCGTTTTCAGACTATGGACGATATCAAAGCAAATTCGCCACAGATTTTAATGGTCATTTCAAATGAAATGGAAACACCGCTGAGAAAAGTCTGTGAATGGGGGCGTACCAATAACGTATAAAATTAATAATAAACTTAAACAAAAATAAAGGTTATTTTCTGAACAGAGCTCGTATACTGTAAAGTGGTGAAAACTTGAAAGCATTTGTTCCTGGAGTATGGAGTTAGATTGTTCCCAACTTTTGTTTTCATCCAACATTCATAGTACATTTAGACAATTGACGGTTATCATGTATTACTTTACGTGGAAATATTAAAGAAGTTTCTGCCTGTCAGATAGACTAAAAAATGATAAAAGTTGCTTTTGAGGAATTTCAAGTTGTCAATTTTATAAATTAAACATTTTAGATAACAACGTTGGATATTTTCCATGCCGTTGAAATATTTAAAGAAGCCAGTTATGTTCAGGACTACGTTTTACATTTTACAAGTGAATTGTAGAGCAAGTGGTTCGATATCATCAAAGAAAATCAAATTAAAAAAACCTAAATTTGTATAAACAGACAAAACAGAATTCTCAATATGACTACTGAAAGTTAATTTTAAATTTTACATCTAGATACAGTTTCGTACATTCCATGCAACACCTCTTTTTAGATTACAATTGAAATGTGTGATATTATTTTCCTCAGAATAAGTCTAAATATTGATTTTAGAAAATTGAAAACATTCAAAGGCAATTTAAACAGATCTCACCATACGTCTGTTGTTTTGTAACGTTACAAATCAGTATAATCATCAACAATACTAGGACAGTATCATTAATTAATAAGCAAATTATACGAGAGATTTAGGAACACCAAATGTTACATCAAATTTAATAGATTTGAGACCACAATATTCTATATTTAAATATCTATCGTTAAGAATTATTATAACATAATATTTATAATGGGGGAAAAACAATTAAATTTTAATAGAATACGATGATCAAGCCCATGTCTGCCCTTAAAATATTGGCAAATTTGTGACTTTTTTTTTAACATACACTCCCCTACAATTATAGAGAATACATTTCTGCAGGGTTACCTGTTGCCACAACTGAATCAGCTATTTCCAGATAGAAATGATCTGTGGTTCCAGCAAGATGGGGCACCCCCACACTACGCACTCGACGTACGAACTTACTTAAATAACATTTTCCGTAGTAGGTGATCGATCGAATGACCTCCAAGGCCTCCAGACCTGACTCCACTAGACTTAGTTTATCAAGATCGGCCAAATAGTCTAGAAAAGTTAAAAGAGCGCATTAGAACGGAGATTGCACAAATAACCCCTGAAGTTCTTGAAAAAAAAAAAGAATTTACTGCCCGACTTTCTCATTGGATCATTGCTGAAGGTCATCCGTTTGAACATAATTTTGATTGAACCTGTAGAAATAAATATTCAAATAATTATACCGTTGGATACACGATTAGGAGACGTCTTAAATGACCCGTTTGTATTTAAAAAAATCGGCGATTACGTCATTACGTCAACATTGGTGACGTAACGGCTCTTAAATGTATATCACAAGATGGCCTTTCAAAATTTAAAATTGATGACTCGCTCAAGAGGGATATCTGATCATTTTATTGTTTCATGTTCAATTTTAGTAAGAGTAACAATCACATACGGTTTGTTACGTATAGAGATTTTAAATACTTCGATGATCATTTACTTCATTAAGATTTGTCTATTATAAAATGGAATCATATAGTCTTCAGAGTGTAAATGCCACGCTTGATTATTTTAATTTTAATTTACTTGAACTTTTTGGTAAGCATGCACCTTTGCGTACTATTAGAGTGACTAAAAGGCATGCTCCATGGCTCACCGACACCATTAAGGAGATGATTAGTTAAGATAAGGCTTATCATAAATATAAAAAGTCTCGTTTAGATAGAGATTGGTCCTGCTACAAAGATCTTAGAAATTATGTCACTGGGGCTATCCGTAGCGAAAAAGTCGTATTTATTTTGGGTTCTTAAAAATAAAAATAGTAGATCCACTTGGAATACCTTGTGATCTCTGAAGGTTGTCGGTTCAGCAGGTTCAGCTGGAGAATTTTGCCTTCCTATACACTTACATGATCTCAATGTAATAAATACTTATTTTAATAATGTCATGCCAATTTCACTCTCCCGTGAACAAGCTGAATTGCTTAATAAATATAACAATGGTACTCCATTTAAAAATATTGATAAATTTTATTTTCATACTGTGACCACTAATGATATTAGTAAGTACATTAATTTGATCAAATCTCAATCAGCTGGTTCTGACTATATCTCTATTATCATGCTTAAATTGGTTGCAGAACATTTATTAAATCACCTTACTTATATAATTAATACATCCATTTTAACATACACTTTCGTTAGCTGTCACTTCGCTAAGGAGTTCTTAGTCTATCCTAGCAAAAACACAGCCAAAAAATACCTGGCCATGTCTAGATAAATTCTTCGCTTTTGTTACAGGTATTCAAACTGGACAATGTTGGTTAAGGAAACACCTTTACAATATGGGGAAGTGTGAAACACCTCTTTGAAGGGGCTGTGAACAGGAAGACGAGACAGTATTGCATGTACTATGTGAATACACTGCCGTCTCATCAACAAGAGAGTCCATGTTGGGAGAACGCTGGCCTTCAAAGGCCTATATTAGAGAGATCCCCCTGAGCAACGTCACCACCTTTTTCACTGTAATAGGCTGGCTGGC